GTTCGGGAATGTGTTTTTATAATGAGAACAAGACTGCATTGCATATGTGATATATCATCTATATGTTTTATGTATTATTCAGTTGTTGCTGCATTGTTTTCTACTTCCACACAGCTTGACATATCATACCTGATACTTTTTTGCACTGTTCCTAATTTTTGTAATCCTAGTCGAATTGCAGTGGCCTAAATAGATCAGACCAGCCTGAGCTTGTCCAAGCTCTGAAGCTAAGTAGGGTTGTTCATGGTCAGTACTTGGAAGGGACATCACCAAGGAAGACCAGCGTTGCTATGCAGAAGAAAGACACGGCCAACCACCTCTGCTCTTCTCTTGCTTTGAAAACCTCATGAGGGGTCACCTGAAGTCAGTTGCAATTTGATGGCATATTATTATCATCATCATCATCATCATCATCATTATCATCATCCCTATTCAGGGGTCATTTCATAGAAAAAGAGGTACAAGAGCTCATTTGCATAGCTCCTTTGCATATGCCACACCCCCTGACAAAGGGCATCTGGGGAAGGGAAAGAAAGGCATTTAAATCCCCCCAGGCAACAGGGGGGCCCTCTGCAGGTGGGCCAGGAAAGGCAGTGGGGGGCGCCCCTGGGCTCCTTACTGCCGGAGCGCTGTTCCGGCATGCTCCGGCAGGAAATGACCCCTTCCCCTATTGCATTGCTTATTGGATCTCCCATGCTATTTGTTTACATTATTTTACACCATGTAATCCATACTTAGTCTCAGTGAGAAAGGCGGACTCTAGAGCAGATAAATAAATACTTTATGTAGTAAAAAAGACAGAATCATATAAACAGATTTGTCAATACATTCTTGTTCAGCAGTTTCATACTGGAGCCTCCTTTTGAAGTCTTTTCATTGAAGTGTGACTTGGAGGTCAACAGCTGAGCCCTGGAAAAGTGACACATTCTCCTCTGTGATGCTGAATGCTGCCATTTTTGATGTGTCTATTTATCCTCTTGCACAGAGACTGACGAAGAGGGCTCTGGTCGACGAAAGTATGTGTTTCTAGCACTAGTACCACAGAGACAGAGGCTACAGCCAAAATAACAGAGTCTCTTGTAAGCATTGAAAAAAATTATAATTGTGCCATAAGCTTTGTGGAGCCAGCGCTCACTGGATTAGAGGCATGCACTTCTTTTTCTTTTGGCTTGTAATTCATAAATTCCCGAGTCCTAAATGTGATACTTTCAGATTTGCAGTGATGAAGGCAGTTGTCACAACTATCCTAACAAGATCAGGACAGTTGCCAGTGCTATTCCTATGAAGGTGAGAGGGATACAAACGTTACAAAAGGGGCGGCGCGGGGGGGGGGAGCTGTACTGATATTTCACAATATGTCTGGCTACAGCAGCTGCATAAATGCATCATTTTATGCATGTGTTTTATGTATGTACTTATGCTGGTTGTATAATTGTTGTAAGCCGCCCTGAGCCGCTTCGGCGGGAGGGCGGGATAGAAATCTAACGAATAAATAAATCATTCCCAGCATATCCGTTACCAACAGGTGAGATTCCAGCTCAGCAATGGGAACTTGCCCCTACTGCTTTCCTTAAGAAGTCAACCCTAAAGCTCAGCTGATGGCTCCAGTATTCAGAACATCTGCAAACTGCCTATCCTGTCTCCCTCCCACTGGCTGAGGGGAAGGCTAGCGAAAGAGCTGTAACGAGAATCATAGAATCTCAGACTTGGGAGGGGCCATACAGGCCATCTAGTCCAACTCCCTGCTCAATGCAGGATCAGCCTAGAGCATCCCTGACAAGTAGTTGACCAGCCGCTGCTTAAAGACTGCCTGGGAGGGGGAGCTCACCACCTCTCTAGGCAGCTGATTCCACTGCTGCACAACTCTTACTGTAAAAAAGTTTTTCCTAATATCCAGCTGGAACCTTCCCGCCCTTAATTTAAACCCATTATTGTGAGTCGTATCCTCTGCTGCCAACAGTGTCCTCTAAGTGACAGCCCTTCAAATACTTAAGGAGAGCAATCCTGTCCCCCCTCAACCTCCTCTTCTCCAGACTGAACATTCCCAAGTCCCCCAGCCTTTCCTCACAGGGCTTGGTCTCCAGGCCCCTGATCATCCTCGTTGCTCTCTTCTGCACGGCTTCATTCTGTCCACATCCTTTTTGAAGTGAGGCCTCCAGAACTGCGCACACACAACTAGGGAACCTGCATCAGCCGGGAATCACTGGCTGCAGCAGAACCACCAGAGCCTCCTTCCTAGACTGATAAGAGAGTCTAACTGACTGGATCCTCCTGAGGCTTGCATATGGCAAACCAAGGAAAGTGAGCATCAAGGCAAAGTGAGTAATACAGGGGTCTGCATTTCGCAGAGAAAGCAAATAACAGAGCTGTAAAAGTTTGCTGAAAGTAGTGGAGGTGATCTTGTCAGGGAACACTCTACCTTTCCCTTTGCCAAGCAGCCAGCTATTTGCCCCCAAAGTTCTTTCTAAGAGTCAGGAGAGTCTCCTAAACAAAAATCATCAAAGTACAGGACACCACAGCAACAATTCGGTAAAGTCACTTCCTCCCCCTCCTCCCCCCTCTCCCTCTGGAGCTTCAGTCTCCAAGCCACATGTGATGCGATGAGGTAGGAGGAGTATGCAGAACTCATTCTCATTAAGATATAGCTTGTCACTGTAGCTGAATGGAACCTAAGGGGTAAATGCATCTATTGTTACTCTTCAAATTTACTCTAAGAGTATTTATGTATTTAAAATATTTGTGCCTATGTTGAGAGCGTCAGATAGTGTTGCCAGCCCAGCACTGGTAACCCCCAAGAGACTACAGGAGTGGAGTCGCAACAAGTAGTGTCATGCCTACGCTGCAACACGTTCAGTTACGGATGCCAGACACCCCCCCACATCTCCACTGCGGATCAGCTGGCCAGTGGGGGGGAATTACCCCCAAAATGAGGAACACCCAACATTTCAGCAATGTGCCTACGTGACTTCTGCAGGACCCAGAAGTGATGTAGGCATCTCAGGGACGTCAGGGCAATGCCCTGGTTTTGGGGCAAAAACCCTACAGTAGAAGCTAATTCTATCATAGAGTTTTTGTCCAAAACCCAGAGCATCGCCCTGACGTGCCTATGTCACTTCTGAGTCACATTAGAAGTCATGTGGGCACGTCACTGAAATGTGCAAAGAAACCCCCAGTTCCCAGTGATTCCCCCCTCATCACCCGCCGGCTGCCCAGGAGGGACCTGGCAACCCTACTTTCCACTGCAAACCTGGAAGTGACATCACCATATCAGCATGATGTTGATGTTGTAGGATTCACCCAAAACTCTATGGTAAAGCAACAGAGTTTCAGGTGAATCCTAGGATGTTGCGCTGACACAGTAATGTCCCTTCTGGGTTTGCGATGGAAATAACAGTGCAGTGCAACACCAATTTCCCCTTCCCCCTTTTGCTTCCACTGCTCCACCAAGGAACAGTAGGAGAAGCAGGGCCCAGAACAAAGCTAAGCAGAAGACCTGGCAGACCTGCGATCAGCCTGGGGTTCAAATCCCCTCAGCAATGAAGCTTCCTGGGTGCTGGGGCCACCCACTCTCTTAAGTATTTCTACTATACTTTTCCCCTAATGGGGACTCAAACAGTGTCATCCTAAGCAGACTTACACCCTTTTACATCCACACATGGGCTCAGAAGGGTGTTACTCTGCAGGAACTGAAAATGGCTTATAAAATGCAAAAATACAATTTAAATTAATAGACAGGATAAAAAGACAATATTCCAAATCTCAGACTGATCCTAGATCCACTGGTCCAGCTCTCTTCAGGACCACCGGCAGTAAGCCAGAGGCTCCTTTGGTTCTTGCCCTGTGGCTCATGCCAAAAGCTTGCACCGCTAGCCATGCTCAGGCTCAATATCTCTAACACAGGAGGAAGATCAACTCAACCCAGATACCTTTGAAATGTTCCCAACATCCCTCCCCTGCTCTCTCTTAACCTAATCACCTTATCAAGGTGTTGTGAGGACAGAATGAAGGAAAGGGGGCATGTACACCATTCTGATGTATTTGGAGAAAGCATGTGATAAAAAATGGACTGAACGATAAATGTTCCCCAAGAAAGCCATCCTCTTCCATGCAACTCCTCTTGTAGTAGACACCTCCAATCCACCCGACATCAAACCCTCATCTTTCTACAATCATGAATCACAATCAAGGGCTGGTCCAATCTCAAAGGCTGCCATGGAAACCTAATCCCGTACCACCAGGCAGAACACCTCCACGCAGCCCCTAACATAGATTTCAAGGACTATGTTTCTTAAGTTACACCAATATTACAGCCTTCTTTAACTACTCACTCTGTGTAAACCTAGGAAGAGGGTGCTGGAAAGTGTTGAAGTTGCAGCTGACTTATAGCAACCTTGTAGGGTTTTCCAGGTAAGGGACAAATAAAGGTGATTTACCAGCTCCTGCATCTGCCTAGCAACCTTGACTTTCCACCCAAGTACTAACCTGGGTAGATCCTGCTCAGCTTCCAAGATCTGAAGAGATCGGGCTAGCCTAGGCCATCCAGGTCAGGGCATAGGAAAACCACACTCTTTACACAATATCGGGCACACTCTATGCTGATGTAAATCAATACTGCTGTTTATAGTTCACCAGGAGAAGCCCAAGCATCACAGTTTTCTTTTTTTCTAGTCTAGAGGTGAGCTTGTTGGAGAACACTATAAACCCATCTAAATACTGGATCATAAAATATTTATGTAAATCATAAGGCAACATAGGAAATGATCATCTCTGGGGCTCCAGCGTTAATGAGTTGCTTTGAGAAATGAACCATATGGTTTCGATCACAAGAGGGAATTTGCCTGGCTCCTCTGCAGAAATCCCTGTTCAATGAGCAAAAAACACTTTCTGTCTTTAGTTAGAACATTTATCCCATTGTCCAATGGAAAATGCAAGTTAGTCTAAATTAGCTTTCCCTCTTCTACTTTTCCTTTTAACAATATATACTAGCATCCTTTACTTACGTGGTGGGACCCCAAGCAACCTTGGTGGTGGAGGAGGAGGTGGTGGGGGTGGTAACGGAGGTGGTCTACATTGGCAGATCTGTTGGCAACTGTCTGTCACTTTTTCTGCTACAGGCTTGAAGCATGATTTTTGAGGTTCACCCTGAGTGATCTGCAAAGGAGAAAAAGACAAAAATTATTTAGCGGATGCACGCACATGTTTAAAAAAATTAACAAATACCATCAGTATCTGATAGTAAAGGTGATCCATCTCTGTTTTGATGCACAGTCTTTGTGGACAGACTGAATCTTTCCCCAAATACCTACACTGGCATTCCACCCTCTTCCATGTCAAGCACAAACAAAAGTTACTTTTTTCCCACCATAGAGAACAATGGAGGGGATAGGGGCAACCTGTTTGATGGCCCGTAGAATTGGACCCCCTGGTCCAATGCTCTTGAAACTTGGTTGGTTTCTTGGGGAGAGGCTCCAGCAGCTACCCTGTGAGTTTGGAGTCTCTTCCCCAATCCCCCTGCCCTCCAGCCCCCATAATATACCCTATGTTTTTGCCATTGACTTCAATGGCCCATAAGATATAATGGGGCTGAAATTGACATTCGGCTGGCCCAAAGACTCCAGAATGGGTTGGTACTGATGAAACTGACATGCTGGAGTCTTACTGTCATCCGAAATTGATTCTGCCTGATTCGGCCAAATCCGAATGGGCCGAATTTATTTATTTCTTGCACACCCCTACTTCTCACCCTTATCTATGAATTTTCTGCAGTTACCCAACTGTTTCTTTCCCCCCTTGTTTGCCATGAAGCCTTTGCCTTTGAAAAACTTCCGACTTCCACCCTCCCTCCCAAATCTCCTGCTCATACCTTGAATAAACCTTTGTTGGTCTTAAAGGTGCCACTGGACTCTACATTTGTTCTTCTTATGGATTTCCAGTCAGGGAATCTGCTTCCCGAATCTGTACGTGATGCCATCTCACTCAGCCCTCCAGAATCCAGTCCTTTCTTAAAGCCCAGCTTTTCAATTAAAACTTTTAGTCCATCACTATAACCCTTATCCCCACATCTAAGCAAGCTGAAGTATACGAAACCATATTTGCTCATATTCATCCCTTACTATCCTGATCATTCCCTCCCTTGCCTTCCCCTTGTCAGAGTCACATTACGTAAGACCTCTCTTTTCTGTTTATGAAACTCTGGACTGACGGTGCTGCATGAACAAAACGGTCTGCAAGGTTTGTTCACTTAACTGGTTAGATTGATTTAAAATATTCTGAATGATAAAACATGTGGCTTTAATGAAACGAGCAGGATTTTTTAAATACTGTAGATTATTTTTTAATATAAGTAGCTACAAAAACTGCAAGTGGCAGGTACCTTCTTAGAAGAGGCATTCTTCTTTTCTCACCCAGGATGGAATGCCTCTTCAAAGACACATGCATACATAATCTAAAAATAAAACAAAAAAAAAATACTTTTGTCCTTTCAAATTTTGTATGCATTTGCAAATGTATACATATTTAATAAATTAATTGATCAACTGCAATGCATATGACTAATTGACTGAGGTTCCCTCATTTCGGTGACAAGCCTGTAGATAAAATGAAATAACAGCTTCATTGCATACTGCTCTCTGTTGGAAATCCAGAACTACTAGTGATAAAGAACTTGCAAGCAGTCAACACATTTGGATGAACTGTTCGGGGTAGTTTCTTCAAAGCCAAATTAAATACACTGAACTTCTTATTGACAAAGACAGAACTTGAGATGGTTTCGTTCATTCATCTACATGCAAATTATGTCCTTCACAAATAAGTGTCTTCCTACAAATATTAAAACCATTAGCGCCCTTAGCTGTGAAGAAACAAGGGGATTACAAGAGGAGGAGAAGGAGAAGAAGACCTGGTTTTATATCCCACTCTTCACTATCAGAAGGAGTCCCAAAGTCACTTACAATTGGCTTCCCTTCCTCTCCCCACAATAGACAACCTGTGAGGTAGGTGGGGCTGAGAAAACTCTGAGAGAACTGTGACTGACCCAAGGTTACCCAGCTGGTTTCATGAGGAGGAGTGGGGAATCAAACCTGGTCTTCCAGATTAGAGTCCACTGCTCTTAACCACTACACCAAGGGGTACATTCCTGTTTGTCTCTTCCAAACCAGATCCTTGGTTGGATGAAAATTCTGAATGTTGAGACTGTGTCTTCACTATGGACATCAGACAGCTAGCTTAGTAGTTTGCACTCTCTGTTTTATAGTAATGACTGTTCATGCAGGAGGTCAACGGAAGTCCCGGGAACAACAGCAGGAAAAGCCGCGGGGGAAGTGCAGCTTTTTAGAGCCGCAACAAACTGAAGCGCGCTATCGTGACCTCACGTTCCCCCCGCGGCTCCGTCCTCTGGCAGCCGATCACACCACCTGAAGCAACAACAACGCACCGCGTTTGTGCACATACGTGGGACGCGGACAGGTGCTGGATGCGATGGCCTACCAGTGTGTCCCTGATAAGACGCCTGCCGACGCCGCGCGTTTTCCTGAAGATACTGCTTGTTTGCTGGTACCTTTTTAAACCACGTTTCAGGCCGGAAGGGACGGGCTGGGGGCGGGGGCGCGATGCCTGCCAGATGCTGGCATCTGATCGCACCGGTTTAATCCACCCTCAATCCGTCCGTTTCACTGGGCAAATCCTCCCGTGTGACCGGGGCCGGAGAGTAACATTTTTTGCTTCCCTGAATTCCCTAGATAACTTATACTATATTATTATTACTATTATATTACTTGAAGGTCCCTCTAAACCTTTACCCAATTCTGGGATTACCAAGGATCACTCAGCACACTCAGCCTCTCCTAGGGTAGTCAGTCCATGCAGGAGGTTTGGGGGTGGAGACATGGGAGGCTGCAACATCATGTACCACATTAAGCCACTTACAGTGAAAACCTGAAAGTGATATACAGTAGATCTAGGAATTGTAGGAAACAATATGGTAAAATCATAGAGTTTTCAGTGATTCTGAGAGCTACTCTCTATCACTTCCGGATTTTCAGTGGAAGCAATTTAACAGTGCCAGTTTTTAATATTTCCCCCCCCATTGCTGCTTGGAGCGGCAATAGTGTGAGGGGAGGTCGGAGGAGTACAGCAGATTGATATTTTGCTGTACTCCCCCGACCAGCACCGCGAATGGGTGGACGTAGGGGATATTCAGGCCCCTAGACTCTTACAAGAGTTTCACAGGGAGCTCCTGGGGAAACTGGGAGGTATCCCGGACTGACCGGGAGATCTCCTGGGCGGGCCAGGAGGGTGGGCAGGCAGAATGTCAGCTATGCTGCCATTGTGTTTATGGGTCCGGGTTTGCGTTCATGACCTGTGTGCCAGTTGCTGCCACATTCTTCTCCCCTCGTTATCACTGACCTTGTAGTCTGCTGGTGTAGTGTCTTCCCATCAATTAACCGTGTGACTAGTTTAGTTTCCCAGCCTCGGCTCTAACTGATCTGGTCCTCCTTCCTGCCCGCGGGAGTCAGGCCGATTGGCCACTGGTGGTGGGGGGCACTTTTGAATACCCTATATCTATGTCTGCTTTCTAGATGGTAGTTATTCCTAACAGTGAACATGTTCCTGCAACCATAGTACTAGCAATAAAATATAACCTTTCTAGAAGCGTGTACTCAATTGTTCGACTGTGGGTCCTGACAAATAGGAGCTGAGGTCAGGGAATCCCCACCCTGGCCAGGGAACTAGAAAGCTAGACTGTCTTCCCCACCCCTGAGAGTTGTTTCAGGCCTTTAGAGGACTTAGAATATTTATCTACTCAGCAGCCTGTCCCAAAGGCCCAAGCCTCCATGTAAAGTAAAATGTTTATTCAGAACCATACAGAACATATAATAAACATTCAAAACCTACATAAGATGAAAATGGAATCTTTTTTAACTATACATGCCATGGTTGAATCCAATGAAGCCCAATATATCAGCTAACAAGCAGAAAGAAAATATCCAAGTCACCTGCGAGACCCTAGCTGAATATATAGCTGAACTTCATTTCTACAACCTTTTCCTGCCAGACAAGGAAACTGTATTTTTAAAAAGCTATCAACTGCTCCATCACCACTCAATCACTTCTCAGCCCCAACTATCTTTTTCCCAACTCTCCTACTACCACCATGGATCTCAAATCTTATTAGCCCTGTTCACAAGTTACAGTGAACGCACACAGAATCTGTGTACAGCATACAGTTGATTTTTCTTTGTATATGCATTGAGTAACTCTTCTGTTACAGTCAAGGCATGTACAACTCAATGTGTGATACAAACCCCACATTTATCTAGGTACCAGTCCCTGGTTTCACTTGTAAAAAGAAGGCACATTGGCTGTTGTGACAAACTGACCTCCAAAAGCAGGATGCTTAGTGCATCGAATTCAGAGAGCTGGGAGATTAGGGGTTAATGCCGCACTGTAAAGCCCAGTTTGATTGACAGGCTGCTGCCTGTGTGCACCCCTTTCTCTCTGATTGTTCAGTGCCAGCTGAGGAGAGTTTTTAAAAAGTCTTGTCAGTCTTGTCAGAGAGAGTCAGTTGTCATTTGGACTTTGGCTTGGCAGTTGCCACTCAGAAGTGTGTGTGTGTGTGTGTGTGTGTGTGTGTATGACAGTCTGAGAGAAACAGACAAGTTCACTTGGGAGGTGAAGGAACACAACTCCTTGCCCTTACTGTGTACTAACACATTTGAGGAAAAGTTCAAAAATCAGAACTTAAAGTCTAATTGTCAGCCCTAGCTGAATTCCATTTATTCAGTCTCCAGAACTTCAGGGTAGGTTTGACAGGCTGGACAGTAGGCTGAAAACTGCCAGTCTAGCCAAACAGAAAAAGGATTATCGCTCCTAGAAAGGAGGATATTTCTTACCCAGTTGTTCAGAGGGTTCAACTCAGAAGGGACCTCTGGTTTGTGTGAAAAGGGAAATGGTCTTAGACTCCTCAAGAGTAAAAAATGGAAAGTTACAATCCCACAAGGGAAGTATTCAAATACAGGAAGAAAGTACTAACTTCCAGGAAACTAAGATAATTTTATGAAGCTTTATTAAGACACAATGTTGCTGAAAGAAATCTCCAAGACAAACAAACCTGTCACAGTCAAGAATTGAGTCTCTAAGAATATATATACAAT